CACAACCGGTCCATTTCAACTCTCTTGCTCCTAATTAGCCATAAGTTGTCGCTTCCTGCGTCCGTATTTTCGTTGAATTTTAGAACTACACTCAGATAATTCATTAAAATCGCTTTTCTAATTTACTACCAGTTCTTTATTAATGGATTTCTAAAACTATTTACATTTCGTAATGGTAATTTATAAAGCATTTAAGAAAACATAATTCTATTCGTCTCCATGTATTTATTTATTTATTTCAAATGGCAGGCGTTTTGATAGCTGTCATTAGCTAGTTAGCTGACTTCGAGCTTCACAGAGGGAAGGTTCATCAAAGTAGAAGAAAGTCGAGGGGTGGGGAACAGAAGAGCGATTCACAAATGTAAAAGAGGCAGACAGACACAAAGGTAGAGAAAAAGGTAAGGTGAGTAGTGTGGAAGGGGGTCGAATATGACAACCAGAGGGGATCGTGGTGGTTTGAAGTCAGAAGTCAAATGCCAGGGTGCAAATTGCCTAGTTTGAAAGATCGAGTGACCCGCTCTTTTATGTATGGCTAATATTTTGTTTAAATTTGCTCTATTTTAGCCGGAGAATATAATGATAGAGGATATGGGAACAAAGCGGATTAAAATTATCGATTTTGGATTGGCGCGGAAGCTGAATCCCAACGAGGTGATACAGGACATGGCTGGAACACCAGAATTCTGTGGTATGTTATCCTTTGAAGTACCTCATTTGTCCGTTCTTTGTCTATTATTTGAGTAATTTTGAAGATTTTCACGAAGAACAATAAAGCAAGCACAACCGAATGTATAGCGCACGGTACTTAAATATTCACAGGCCTGAAGACTTTAATAATAAACACGAGAACTTGAGCTTTGTTTGTAAATTACTGATGGTCTCCCCATTCCATAAATGCTCATAATCACTTTTGCAACTGTCGTTTCATCGTGTCTCGACGTGTTAGCACATTCTCGATCTTTTATAAAAACTGAGAATTCTTTGCCCTTGCCATCAAGATTTAAAATCGTTTAATTTTGCTCAATTTAGGTTCCTTAATATGTGTTTTTTAAATAAGTGAACAATGACTTTTTTGAAAAGTACCCTCTGATTTCTGGATATCTTAATATTTTCCCTTTAGATTCCATTTCATTCAATTAAATGGACGTTTTTAAATATGACAGTTCCCTGAACGCCTTTGTTGTTCTTCTAACAAACTCGTCAACATATTTTTAAGGGGTAAATGTGATGTGTTAAATGTTTTTTTCCCATTTCTAGAGGGCAGTTAAGCAAAAATCTGTCTAAATTTACAACGACATTAGATAAATCGAGGCTTAAAGTACTAGTTGATCATTAATTGGAATGCAGATGGCATTGTCAAGCTATAATGGGCTATGTACCAAGCAGGAGTGTTTATCGACCTATTGTGACTGCTGCCGTTGGGGGCTTTAACATGGCTTGCGAACATATTAAACACACACACCGAATCCGTATGTGCATGTGTATGCGTAAAGGTCAACGTTGCGCTTGATTGGTCCACCACTTTCACCCTTTGCACCTCGCATATTTTCGAAATGCCCCCAAAGAGAGGGAGAGAGAAAGAGGATGCCAAAAACCCCATGTCGTCTGGGTCACTTTCCTTATTGGCTAGAATCCATATAATATCCTCCCCTCCAGGGATAAATAGTTAAATTTGAAAACTTTTATTTTAATGGTGCCACTTAAAGACCAATCAGTAGAATGCACGAATAAATTTAATTCAATTCTTTTCAATATCTCCGGCTATATATGATACTCTCAATTACAATATTTTCACATGCTAATCATATTCAGACGGAATAACGCAATCAATAAGGTGTATATTATTTTCCTAATATACGAAAGACGAAAAATTAAGATATTCTATTGTGGGGAGGCATCTATACTCAGACAGCTGTGATAAAATAAGTGATAAAAAGGAGTAAAGCAATTTAAATTTGAGAACAATGTGCCTTATTCGTGTGCATTTTACGATTATTTCACTAATTTATTTAATAATTGGTCAACTGCTTTATGTTCCAATAGCTGATTTAAATGATTTTGCCCGAAACAACAATTAATCTTATTTCGTTGATGTCTATGGCTTACTGCAGGAGTGCTAATCTCGTTTAGTTAACCAAGCTGGTGAGATTGGTGTGGGTAAAGTGGCTCAATAAAGTTCACTTTTTAGAAATCAGTTCTATCACTTCTTACGTCCATTTAAACCTAATCATTAAAAAATATTTATTATTATCGTTTATATCAAATGGCAGACGTTTAGATGGTTAAAATTAACCCTTTAGTTGACTTCAGGCTTCACAAAGGGGAAGGAAC